GTAGCTAAGAAAAGGACCAGACACAATGGTGGCACCAACTGGAGCTGCTTTCTGGATATATCCATTTTATGAGGTAAATTTCGGTCAAGCATCATGACAGTATGGCTAAACCTATGGTGAAACAATCCAGTAACCCAGTTCATATACAGTAAGACTCTGACGTGTGCCCCATGGTCTTCTGCAGATCACGCTGGACCAAGTCCTGATTCCCATGTCACTGGCTATGAAGCTTGGATGCACCCCACCCCCAGCAATCTTGACTCTGGATACCATCACGATTTCTCCAAGGTCAGGAATGATGGAAAACTCATCTACGTGATGGAGGTCAGAGCCAAGCCTCTCATTGCCTGGGGCCAAACTTCAGCACCTCAATCCTTCCCCTAACCCTAATTCTTGAGACCCTTAGGGCCTTGGAGTCTTCTTATTGTCCAAATCCCAATGAATGGACTGTCCTTCTACATAAATCTTGGCTTTCACTGCTCAGTTCTTTCCTTGGGACATCCAGGACCTGGATTAGACCTCAGACCCGAGAAGAGCACCATGAGCCATTACTACTTGCATCAGTTTCAGGCTCAAATAAACAAGCAATTCGTGTAATAAACACACAAACTCACTCATTTTATGTTCCAGTTTATTGTGTTTTGCCAAACTTACTCAAATGTACAGCCTCCTTCCCATCCACCGTAATGCTTGTCTACCACACCAAAATGTTCCTTTGTGTCCCTTCCAGGTCACTTTCTGCCCTGCAGTGCCCAGGTCAGGCAACCTCTGTTTGGCTCTCTTTACTCCAGATTAGACTTGTCTTTTCTAGAGGTTTCTTTGTGTGAAATCTCTGTACACTCTGGATTTTGGGGCAAGGCCTGCTGCATTGGTACCTCATTGTGTTTTGTGTGTCCATAGCTCCTTCCTTCACATTGCTGAGCTGTATTCCACTGAGCAGATAAGATGCTCCATCATGTAATTCTCCATTGACTTGTGCTTATATATTCAGGTTGTGTTCAGTTGGGGGCATCATGAATAATGCACACAAGTACATAGTGTGGACACTTTTTTTCTTTCTAAGAAAGGAGATAGCCAAGTTTTATGATAAACATATTTATCTTGCTAAGAAATTGTAGGTCAGCTCGCCAAAGCAGCTGTAGCATTTCCTCTAGCAATGCCTGGGCATGGGTCACTCCATGTCTCCCCCAGTGCCTGTGGCCAGTGCTCTTCACTGCAATCCTGATTGTGAGTGTTAGCAATGCCTCCTAGGGCTGTAATTTGCATTTACTCATGTTGTAAGACTTCCAATATCTACCCCTTTATGGCTTGGCCAAGATATGAGATTGCAGGAATGGCCATGATACCCAAGCTTGATTTTCCCCAGATCCCAGGAAAAAGATCAGGGTACAGACAGGAGACTGGCTACAGGGCTGGGAGGGGATACAGGCAATGGCAAGTTCCCAATGCTGCTCTATCTTCTGTAGAAGAAGGGACACCTGTCATGGAAAATGGCAGAGGTGTCCTGCCTACTGGGCAGCTCTGACAGGCCAGATTGTGTGTCTCTCAAACAAAGGTTTGGATGGGTAAGTGCCAAGTGTCACTTGCAGGTTGGGATCTGGTGAGGGCTCCTCTCAGTGCCAGTGTGGCACTGTCTCAGGTAGCAGGGGTAAGGTAGTGGGGGCAGGGCTCTCATATCAGCAAACTGATCTTGTTCCTGAGCACCCCTCCTGTGACCTAGTCACCCTGAAGCCTTCTTGTACACCATCAGCTTGATGTCAGAACAGGAGTTTGGGGCACACAAACCCTCAGACCTCAGCAGGGGCCATGCTGGCAGCTGTCTTGTACAGAGCACATAAAGTTGCCTGTCTTGTGTTAATGCCTTTACAGGAATCAACTTTCTACTCAGTTCAACAACAGTGACAGGGAGTTACTGTTACTTTCTACTACAGAGAAGGAGAAGCCAAGGTAGGCAGATTAAGCAGTTCAGCTGAGGTGACACCCAGTGGTCAATGGGTTTTATGGAATTCCTGTGTAGATGTACTGGACCCTGTCACCAAGAATAAGTGGCACATGCCGAGGAAAAGTGTAGAAACGGGTCTCTGAGGAAGAACAGGTATGGAGAAGTCAGGCTAGGGTCAGGAGCAGGAAGGGAAGCCCAGGACTCTGGAGGACTGGCTGCCTAAGTGTACACAGTGCAGAGCTCCTTGCTGGGAATGTATCAAGAATTGAAGATGTGGCACGATGTTTTTTAATTCTTCCAGAGAAATATCCAGAAGCAGAATGGCTGGATTGAAAGGGACCTCCATTTCTAGTTTTTGTGGACCTCCACACTGATTTCTGTATTGGTTGAAGCAGTCTGCATTCCCACCAAGAAATAAAACCATCATACCAGAGACATATGTACACCCGTTTTATTGCAGCTCAAAGTGTCAAAGCTGAATCTTGGAAACAACCCAGAGGGTCATCCAAATAGAATGGAAAAAATGTGGTATTTTTATAGAATGAAGGAATACTAAGGTATGAACAATGATAAACTTATGATATTGTGTGGAAATGGATGCAACTAGAGGCCTTATTCATCAGTGAAACAAACCCAACTCGTACGTGGAAGCATCGTTGTTTTCCTAATGTAAGAAGCTGAAAGAGTAAGTAAGACCCAAAATATACATTGTGAAACAGGAATAAACTACTTAGAAGGAAAGAGAATCTAGAATGGGGGAGAGGAGAAAAGATGGAAGGGGAAAGGTAAATTAGGATAGTTAAAATAGTTGCACTACTAGTTGCTGTTAGTTCATTGAAAAGAAAGTTTAATGCCTATATTTTTGATCAGTTTTTCATGCCTACATCTTGCAATATGAGCAACTATTTTGAAGATAACAATTCTCAATGTACAACCCTTGTGAATCTTAAAATTGTGAGCACCACCTTGATTTTACAAACTTGTATGGAGAAGAGGGCACCTTTCATTCATTCATTCCTTCACTCATTCACTATTTTACTCACGTATTCACTGACCAACTTGACCAAATGCATTTCTGGTCCTGGGAGCTTCCCACTGTCATCTGGGTGCCCCCAGATGACCTCTAGGCCCCCTGCCATTTAAACTACATCTTGTGGGTGCAGACAGAAAGGTGAGGTGAGAGGGTCTGGCTCTTTCTCACTGCTAAGACAGGCAGTGGTAGGCAGAACAGAGGCAGTGTGGTTGAGCCTCCTTCTCTCCCCAGTACCCAGCCCAGCCCATCCAGGCTGTGTGATCTCGGGCAAGTCACTCCTTTGCTCTGGGCAAGGTTCCCTCATTTGCACAGCAGAGCCCCATGTACATTGCGGAGTGCTGCAAGGCTGGGAGCTCTGCCAGGGCCAGCAAAAATGATGGCTGGAGACATAGGCAGCTCCTCTACTGGACTGAACCCTGCACCTGGCACAGTTTCCTCTGTCCCCTGAAGAGGGGCTGACTCCCTGCTGTCTACTACCCCTCAGTCTTGTTAAAATCTTCCCTATGATTTTGCAAACTAAAAGAAAAACACAATAGTGAGTGGTGGTCAGCCCCGGCTCTAGAAAAGGAGCAGGGAGAGAGGTGTCCAGGCCCCAAGGGTGAAGCTGTGCTGGTGGGGTTTGCATTCTGTGCACCGGATGGTGTGGTGCAGTCAGAGATCAGGAATATTCACTCTGCTGCTTCCTTCAGCAACACTTATGGTAGGAGATACCATGATTAGCATGCTCCATGCAAGGATGATGTGCAGATTTGTGATGTGCTCCATATTTTCTGCATGGTTCAAAAAAAAAAAAAAAAAAAACGAAAAAAGAAATATTTAATCTATGCTCAGCCAGAGCCCATACTTTCTTACCTCAGTTAATTCTGCCTACAAAGTGGGGGCTGTCCTTCTCTCTGAGGAAGAAACTGAGGCCTAGAAGGGCTTCAACTTGCTTAAAATGCACAGCTGGTGAAGCTTAATCCTGAACAGCAGCCTGGAAGTCCCACAGGCCCGAAGATGGGGACCCACTGAGGTCCTCAGACAGGTGGTGGAGTCTTCCCAGGGTTACAGATTGGGGGTGGGGGACAGAGAACTGAAGCTGCCCACTGAGGGCTTCTGGCCCCTGGGAGCAGGAATTAGAGTGTGTCCTACTGTGGGGACTGAGATGGGCCACATTATAGCTGCTCTCCAGGATCTCCTTCCCAGGACCCATAATCACACAGGACATGGCACAACCTAGCCCAGGACAGGACAACTTCTCATCACTGTCACAGCAAGCAGGCCAAGGCCATTCCAGTGTATAGTTACCCAGGCCCTCAGAGAGAGGTCGGGACAGGAGCCAGCTTCCCCTGGTGAACCCATGCATCTGCTTCTGTGGCAACACATGGCTGGGCTATCTCTGCAGTCTCACCCTTTCCCAACCTGTTCTCTGGAGCTTACTTTCCCTTGTCCCAAGGTAAGAGGGAACCCAAGTGAGATGCTGGAGGAGCTGAGAAGGGCCAGCCTGGAGGCTGACATTTGAGAGCCCAGCCTAGGGAGGCAGACCACGAAGGAGACAGTAAGGGAGAATGCATACCCTCAGTCGAAGCTGGGGAATAGCAAGTGTTCCCTGTGCCTGTCTCTGCACGTTTTGATTCCAGTGAGCTGAGGAAAGCCACGTATACCTTGGCCAGTTTCAAGCCTTGGGGACAAGTGGACCAGAGAAGCTAGTGCACGTGCTTGGGGGCAGGATGGAGTAGAGGATGGGACCAGAGTGCAGAGGTGAGGGCAAGTGTAGGTGGGAGAACAGAGGCCAAGAAGCCCTGTGGCTGTGACTTGCAGCATATATAGCCCCGGCCGTGCCTGGAGATGATGGTGTGTAGCTGCAGGGGCTCTGAGCACCAGGTCCTGTGGGTTACAGGCCACACTGCTGTATTCCAGGCTCCGTTTGAGTAGTGGACCAGACAGCCTCTGTGGAACCTGAGCCGGCTCCTCTCCCCTTCGCCCAGTGTCTAGATGCTGGCCTGGCCCAACATGCTGCTAGGTGGCCTGCTCCTCATGGCCACCATGACTGCAGCCCAAGAGAGAGGACAGAAGGTGGATGTCATCCAGACAAACCAGCCGCCCAGTGTGCCTGTGAAGGTCTTGTCTGGAAATTTGACAGAACAGGCGAGGACTGAGCTGACAAACAGCACACTGAGGCTGCAGAAGGTATGGCGGGGTCCCTGAAGTAGGCGCAGCTTCAGAGCTGTCCCTACCAGTGAATGAACTGTGAGACCCAGAGGTTTCACTGGGCACAGAGGCCTGGGATTTGAGTTGTGTGCATTGGAAGATGAGGCCCCAGAGGGGCAGGGATGGGCCTGGTTCAGCGCAGCCAGACTGGGTTGTGTCGGAACACTGAAGCTAGGTCTATACAGCTATGCGTTAGAGCTGATCATGGCCAGGCCTGTCCTAGGTGAGCACATAGCAGGCAGAGGTCAGTTCAATTTATCCTTTCTGGACAAAGGGGTGATAAGGGCAACAAATGATGTCTACTGTGTCAGACTCTGACACAAATATATGGAGGGGAGCAGAGAGAAGTGTGACTTAGCCTGGCAGCCTGAGCTGAAATGATTTATTGGGATGACTCAGTGGAGGACAGCTCTGATTTCAAAGGACAAAGGAAGCAACTGTCTAGGGGACCAGGTCTCAGTGAGGGACTCTCAGCTCCCACAGCTGCAGTATGGAATGCCATTACTTTCTCAAGGACAGGGAAGTGACCAGTTTGGTTAGAGCAGAGGGACAAGGACATGGGCAAAATCCAATACTTCCAACCAAAAAGACTTCCTGGACCACTTTAGCTTTTATCCTGAATGTCACAGCACCCATACAAGAGCTGTGAGCAGGGAGTGACACTGCTGCTTGAGATGTAACAGTGTGGCATATATGGATAGGTGGTCCCTGGCAGCCCAGGAGGAGGCCCTGAGGCCCCCTGCCACCATATGACACATGGAGATGGAGGTGTGAGCTGTGTGGGGCTGGGGAATGTGGAGGGGCTGATTCTGGAGGTTGAGAATCATCCATGCTGATGGACCAGATGCAGGGAGGCAGTGAGTAGGAGTCCAGGGCCACAGCAGTACGGGTCAGGCCAGGGCTGCTGAAAGATCTACTCACTGTCCCAATGTTCTTCCCACATTAACTATTTGCTTTGTGGCTCAGAGTCATAGGAGGCAGACTGGGCTCTGGAGAAGGGTGGGCACAGACATGATTTTGGGGTCTGGTGTAGCTGGCTAGGGTCCCTTAGTAGAGGCACCTGAGAGAGGAAGCCCTGGCCCAGTGACAGTCTGAGCAGTGAGTGCAGAGGGCTGCATGAGGTGCTAGGGGAGGACTGGATGTGTCAGGCAGCAGGCAGACTGTGCCGGCCAGCAAAGCAGAAGCGAGTTTTCTGCTCAGGAAGGGAGGGCACCCCTGGTACTGTAGTTGATGGGTTATTTAAATCTGAGCCAAATCGGTGGAAAGTTTGCTCCTTAGTAAGCATGCATTTACCAACATGCAGCAGCATGCATATTCGTGATGCACACATGGTGTGATGCATGAGGGCTGCGACCATAGAAAGGTGACATAGGACCCTGAAGTCTTGGATCTGTGAGGTGCACAGCTCTGTTAATGTTCGCAAAGTGGGCCTATGATCCCCCCCACTTTCAAAATGGGTGGGGTGCTACTCAAGTGCCTGGGTTTGCTGTGGTACCCCTGGAAGTTGGGGATCAACCTGGTGCTGCTTCTGGGACAGGGCATTGTGCCAGCCACCATGGTTCCTTCTATCTCCTAGGGGTGCTGCTATGTCATACACATGGGACTTTCTCTGAGACACTGTGACTCACATTAACAGTGACTCAATGAACCTCTTTCTTTTTTTCTATGTATTTGGTACAGGGTCTCACTATGAAGCTCAAGTATGTAGTGATCCTTCAGTTTTCAGCCTCCGCAGTGCTGGCATTATAGGCATGAACCACTATGCCTTGTCTTGGTGGCTGGCTCAGTGTGCCCGTGGGTGAGGCCAGCAGGGAATGTGGGGCCTCGTCGTTGATTCTCTTGATGCTCTAGAATGTGAGATCTGTTCTGATCCCCTTGTATCTTGTGGAAACTGAGGCCTAAGAAGTGAGGGGGTGAGTGTGAACCCAGGCAGACTGACTCCAGGCCTCACAGTCTGACACTATGAAGATGGCCTCTCTGTGCCTCTGCACCCCCTCCCCTGGATGTGGACACCGAACCTGGGCAAGGGAGGCACTCAGAATTGGTGGTTGACTTGTTTTAGACCAAGTAAGTGCTCAGAGACAGAAGAGAGGGTAGAAGCAAAAATGGTGCGGTCTAGGCACAGAAGCCACACTAAAATATCTCTTCTGGGTTTGATCCTGTCCCAGGGAGAGAGGAGAAGGCACCAGGGTATAAATTCCAGGTGAGGAAGGATGGGGGACACAGTTGTCTTCCACAAGCAGCCCTCTGTTGTGCTCATAATTGTGTACTTCACAATGGTGATACATTTTGTTAATCTCAGGTCTCTGAGGGTCAGAGGCTGGAGGATCAGAACTGCCAGTCCAGCCTGCACAACTTGTAAGACCCCATCTCAAAATAAGACATGATGAGACAAGTGTGCACACCATGGCTTAGTCTCCAGTACTGCAGAACAAAACAGTGTGGTCTTGGGGTCTACATGCCTACATTAAAAAATTAGAATAACTAATACATATGAAATGGATAGAGTAGTGGGATTTCCTGGGCCATCTCTCTACACATGTTGATCTCATCCATCCATCCTTCCCACCAATGCCACATTCAACTCTATCTTCTCTCACTCACAAGCTGTGGTACCTTTCCCTCTCACATATAAAATGTGGGAAGGACATATCCCAGGAAAAAATGAGCTCTAAAGTCCTTGGGTCAGTGCCAGACATGAGTAGGATTTCAGACCTCCCTTGAAAGTCTTGGCTTGCCATGGTCACTGGTCCCCTTCCTCGTATTAGACACCTGTCATGAGGACCAGGACTACTATGTCTTGTTTCTTTCTGGAGTTTTCCTCCCGTAGTCAACCGATTTAGGGTCTCTCCACCTGCGTCTCTTTCCTTAAAATCCACTCAGTTGACCGTGCTCATTTCCCCTGGACTCAGAGTGGATGTTCTCCCCTTCCTCTCCTGACCTGGCTGCAGCTGGCTGGTCCCTGTCTGGCTCACTGGCTTCCTCTCTCCTCCATTTTCAGGCTGATCCTGTGGGCCCTACCTTATCTCCAAGTGCTAGATTTATCACCAGTGCACTAGTATGCAGCTGGTTTGCGAGGCGTCGCTGATGGCACTGGCTGATGGGCAGCATGTTGGGCCAAGGATGATCCTTGTGGGGCCTGGGAGCAGGGATGGAACTGTCACAGGCAGTGATGGGGAAGGGAAAATTCAGGAAGCAGATCGGGTACTCAGGCAAGACCGGTGTGTGCGTGTGCACAAGTGATCACAGGGAGGGTGACTTGGAGGGTGGCTCTTGGTCAGCAAGACTCAGGAGTGACAGGAATGTGGGCGGGCTGATGGCATCTGGCATATACCTGCAGTGCTCACAGAGTGCCTACCTCCTGTTTGCTGGTACAGGTCCTCAACCAGACATCGACCCACAGGGAGCACCAGATGCTAGATGCATTACAGACCACTGACAACCTGAAGAAGCAGCTACAGGACCCAAGAGCAAAGCTAAACCAGCTGCACAGCAGCAACAGGTTGGGCATGGGCCCTTGGCCCTGCTGGGGCAGCAGGTGAGTGAGGAATAGAGCTAGGGGCCCAGACTGAAGATGGGGGTGGGGCTGAGCTCGGAGCTGGACATGGGCGAGTAAGTGGGTGGGACCCAGTCCTGATGAAGCTTGCAGTGAGGGACTGGGAGTGAAGCTGGGCCTGGGTTCCTGCTGAGAAGGAATGAAATGAGGATCAGGGTCCAGAGATGCTGGGAGGAGCGCAGGCAGCAGGACAGGGCTGGGACTGAGCTGGGGGCCTGGCAGGCCGGGGTGTGTTCCCAGTGTTGTGTGAGCAGCAGCAGAAAGGGCCTCCTCCTGGGGCTCAGGACACTTTGATTCTTACTGGTTTTTTTCTCTTTGTCCTATCCTTATTTGAGAAACTTATCTACTTTATTGAGATATAATATATACATCACCCCATTGACCATGTCCCTTTTCATAGGCATAACTGATTTGCACATCAATCAAACAGGTTCAGTCTACCTGCTCCCCTTCCCCAAGGACACCACAATGACAACTTTGCATTGTGCAGAGTCAGAGTCCCTTCATTGTATGCAAATCTGCATCAGGGAACACACTTTAATGATGAAGAAAATGATGGTTCTGGAATGCTGCAAAGGCAGAGAAACCTGACTCCCACTCTCTAGATTTGATCTTGGTTTTGAGTGAAATAGAGAATTGTCATTACAGTCAGAATGTGAGGGAGCCAAACCTGCTCAGGGATCAACCCTTCATAGGGTGAGGTAGGCAGTGCATGTCTGAGCTCCATGCAGGGCCCAGCCATAAGCCTGGCCTCTGTCTGACGCGGGTCCCATTAGTAGATGTTCTTGTTCTCATTCCCACCCTGAAGATGCAGCTAGCAAGAGCTGGGGCATTGCTGTCACTCAGAATTGGGCAGTTTCCTGGAAATGCACAGATAGAAGTCACGTCAATAAGCTCTTGATGGGTGGACAGCGAGCATTCTAGAATTTGAGTGTGTCCAGATGGTCTCTTCCTGCACTGTAATTTGGGGTCTGTGGCAATGTCTTCTGGCCTGACTGGATTTAGCTCTTAGTCTGGTGAGCAGGACTGGATAGAGAGGAAAATCCTCCCTTCCCAGGTCTGTCCCTCAGCCACTGGGCTTCTGCAGTCAGACAATGGCTACCTGAGTGCTGGTGCTCCCACTGACTGACCACTGTCTTCCAAGGGACACCAGTGCACACCGCTCCCTGCCCTAGTCCACAACTACAGCGAACACAGACTACGAGACATGTGACCCTGTACAAGATGCTCCATGCATCTGGACCACCCTCTGTGGCAGTGAATTCAGGGCAGGAGTGTAGGCTTCTTCTTGTTCTCTCCATCCTGCAGTGACCAAGAAACTTGGCTGCACACCCTGGAGGCTGACCGGGAGGCTCAGCTGGTGGGGCTCCATGAAGAGAGGAAGAAGGTGAGGTTGCAACTGGGCCAACAGATGGACAGAATGTCCCGCATAAACCAGAGCTTGGAAGCCCTGCACACCAAACCCAGGCTCATGCAGCAGCAGCAGGAGCAGCTAAAGCAGATCCTGCATCTCCTCAAATACTCAGTGGAACAGGGCAAAGGTGAGCTGGTGGGGCTTCTGGTGCAGAGGCTGGTGTGGAGCCTGGGATGGAGGGCAGGAGCCAGGAAGGAGCTCTGCTCAGCTTCCAGAGATGAAGCCTGGTCAACTGGCCAACAAAAATAACACTGAGCAGTAATAGGAATGGCCATATCTGTGGCCCTGAGAGCAGCCTATGCAGACAGCTCCTGCCTGCACAGTTGGCTGGGTTTGACCTGGCCCATCCTATATCAATCCTCAGTTTCCCCAGTTGTCCAATGGAGGTGATGTTGTTAGGAAGGACAACAGCAGCCAGCTGACAGCTTTGTTCTAGGCTTTACCTTTCATCCTGCTTCGCTTGTGCCACACTACCCCTCCCTGGACCTCAGTTTCCTCATAGAAGGGTTGTGGGTCTCAGAGCAGCCCAAGGGACTTGTCTCCTATAAATGCTTCACCTTGAGGCCCAAGAGGGCACAGGGGAGGCAGGGGGTCTCCTTGCCCCAGTTCATAAGGGAGCACCATGCCCAGCCTTCCCCTGAGCACTCACTGCCTGTGCTGTGCCATTGGGAGCCAAGGCTTCCTGATTGCAGCTTCTCGGTCAGTCAACAAACACTGATTCTGTTGGTTTTTTCAGCAGTGCAGCAAACAAATAGGAAAGATAAAAGAGGCCTTTATTGACTCTGAAGACAAGATGATAATCTGAGGGAAAAGGGAGTGTGGGATCCTCTGACCTGAGAGAAAGAAAGCTGAGACTTTTATGGACTGTTGTTAGGGTGGGGCTTGAGGGGCAGGTTCAATTACAGGGAAGGAGCCCTGGGTCTGCCCTGTGTGTGTGAGAAAGGCATCCAGCACTGGGGTGGGGAAGTAGGAGGAGGTAGACTCTGAGAAGATAAGATGCTGTTTTCTGGCTTTAGTCATGTTAGAGAAACATCATAATAATTTAGGAAGTCATAGTAGTGTCACATCCCATCATTACCTTTAGTTGTTACGAAGGGGCGGTGAATCTCTTAGACTGCTTCTTGCTGAATGAGGGCATTGTTTTGTGGGCAGGAGGATTGACAGGATGCCAGGTCATGCCCATGTAGAAGCTAGGGCCAGGTGTCTCAGCTCGAGTAAGATCATCATTATTGAAGGCTCACTGCAGAGATTGGAAATCTTGAAAAAGGTTTTAAAACTCAGGGTGCTCTGAAAGGACAGGTCATCAACATGATTAAAGGACCCATAAGGGGAAGCAGGAAAGGGCTCTGTGACACAAATTTGTGATTCCACTATAACCATAGTGAGGGAGAAGAGTGTTGACTTTTTAGTTCTTGAGGTCTGTTTTCTAGAGGCTTAGGAAAGTGGGTGCCCTGGGAAGAAGCTGAGGCCAAGGCAGGTGTAATTCCAAGGGAGGTTTGGAGAGCTGGGCCTTGAAGAGCCCATTTGCCTCTGCTACTCCAGATCCATTGAATGTGGCATGTCCTGGTCTTTTTGAGTGTATGTTTGTTGAGCTACAGTCTATGAACTGTGCGTCAGAATAGGTGTAACCGCAGGAATGATAACCCTGGGAAGATGCACTGAATGACAGGAGCCCTTGGATTTAAGTACAGGAAGAATGGGAGTATGATAAGGTGAGCACAAGCAGGAAGTATCTCAGAGTATGTGGTCCACAAAGGAAGAGGGAAGGAGGGGCTGGCTGTGCACTGATGTTGGGTTTGTAGGATGAGCACTTGGGGAGAGAGAGGTGAAAGTGAAGGGAAGCTTTTGGGATTTCTCTCTGTGAGAGGTCTAGGGTAGGTTGAGATCACAAGGAAAATTATGAGTGACAAACAGCACATGGAATTAGCAGGGAATGGGCTTGTCTGAATGGGTCATAGAGGTCAGACATCCACATCGATTATGGAAATTGTAGATGCAATACAGTGACCTGAGACCTAGCAAAGAACAACATATGTGCTTTCCACATCAGTAAGAGAGGAGAGTCGTACCTGAGCCCCAGGAAGGAAGAGCTGACTTTGTGCTACTCTCTGGGTGCTCAGGCCCTGTCTGTGGACTGGGAGCACCTTGCTCAAGGGAGGGCTCTCCATATGCCCTCTGAATAGCCTTATACCTCCCCTTAGGTCTCCCTACTTTGAGGCCCTGCCCAGGAAAACCCACTCTGATCACAGTGCTCTTGCTAGGCACAGCAGTCTGGGCTCTACAGCATGACACACAGGGCCAGTTGGTTCTGCTGAAACAGCCTGCACTCCACCCTGTTCCTGCCCTGCCCACTTTCTGCCCACCTGGCAACATGTCAAGCAACCAGAGTGCTCTCTGCAGAGGCTCTGCATTCCCAGGCATCAGTGTGACCTTCTGGCCCTGTGTCTCTCTTCTGGACACTTAGGAGTCTTTGCCCTGCTGTTCCCTCTGCCAAGAGCACAACATCTCCAGCTAGAACTCCTGCTCCCTGCTGAGGCTCAGGTCTCTATCCCTTGCTATAGGCAACATGCAAGCAGTGGCTCCTCTGCCCATCCTGGCACCTCCCCAGCAAGGACCTACGCATAGCAGGAGGGTGAGCTCACTCTGTCCCTACCACCATCTTGCTCATCTCCAGCTAACTTTGGCTTTGTCCTATTTCTGCCTCCACAGATGTAAATGTGCAGAAATTCCAGGACTGTGAGGCCATCCACAGGTTTGGGTTCAGTGAGGACGGCGTCTACACCATCTTCCTGCCCAGTCTGAAGCAGTTCAAGAGGGTGAGAAGGGCTGTGGCTGGGGGAGGTGAGAGTCCATCAGTGGATGTTGATTGCGGAGCTTTCCAGATGAACCCCCTTTAGCATCGTGCTTTTTGGAGGGACTGAAATGCTGGCAAATGGGGGTACCTGCCTTATTGAGAGCTCATGTAGGCAAAGGTGTGACCAGGGGACAATATGCACAAGTCCTCAGAGTAGGAGCACTGCTTTCCAGAGAGGCCTCTCACTGGGGTAGCAGGAAACAGCTCTGTGCTGGCTAAGGTCATGCTCAGTTACACAAGTGAATCCTGAGATTCCAAGGGCCCAGCCCAAACTTTACTTTTTTGAGGGCAGGAAGTGGGCCTTTGCTTCATGCAGGACATTGATGTGAGGGGTCCATGGAGCCACCTCCACCACCTGTGAACAACTTCAGAGGTGACCCTGAGCTCATAGGTCCAGTTGTCAAGAGGCGGAAGGGTGGACGGGAGACATGGGTGTGACGGAGGGCTTGGGGCAGATAGAAGGGACGGGAGGGAGGAGCACCTGTCCAGCAGTCTTGCGCTGTAATTCTCTTTGCACTTTCCCTTCAACCTCCTCACTTTGTCAGGGGTTGGCTCCATTTGTGTCTAGAGAGCTTTCCACACATTCAGTAAATGGGCCTTTAAGGAAAGAGCAGGAGATGGCTCTGTGCATGCAAGAATTTCTAGCATCAATTTCATCATATTTTGCTTTCTTATACTTACTTTCACAATCATTTGATTATACCCACGCATGAGCATTTTCCATTTAAGGTACTAAGATTTCTTATCAAGAGACTTGACAAGTTTTCATGGAAAATCTGATTTTCCAAGAAACTTAAGCAAATGTAGGTCAGATTGAATTTGCTGAGGGGCTAATCGCTGAGATATGGGGACAGTGTTTGGGACAGAGGTGAGAGTTGGCCTGGGAGGAGAGAGATCAGGGCCTAGCCCCCAGCTCTCCTCTTAGGAAAGCTCTTCCCTTCTGAGACCCCTGCACACACTGCAGCCCCACAACAGGGGTCCTGCTTCTGTCCCTCAGCTGAGCTTTCCTTCCTCAGAGCCCCCACCCCTCCTGCTTGTGTCTTCCTGGAAAGTGCCTCTCCCTTCATTTCTCTCATGTGCACATGCCCATTCTGTGTCCCCTGGGAAGCTCTCACCCCAGGGTATCTGGGGTGGCTGAGTCACTGCTGGGCTTCTCCTTGCAACCTCCCAAATGTGCATATTACATTGTCTTCTGCCCCATCACAGCCTCCTCCAGAATATGCAGCAGGAAGCTTCCTTTGTCTCTGATTCATCTTGTGGAGGGCCAGGCAGCAAAGCTGCATTCATGGGATATTGAACTTGTACAAAACTGATAGAGAAAATAGTGTGTGAACAGTAGTTAGCCTGCTTTGTGTAGTTGTGTTAGATTGTAGCTCTTAGAGAGAAAGGCTTTTGTTTTTGTCTCACCCACATTTGTATCTACAGAGGTTGGAACAGAGCATCACACATAGTAGTTTCTCAGCAAACTATACTGCATTTTGAGGGACAGCAATAAGAGCGTTTCCTGCATCTACAAGGTGGCTAAGCCCTTTATCCCAAACACATTTAATCCTTCCAGCAACCAGCAGTATTAAGGTGGAGGAGCCTGCATTCACTTCTCTCTTGGTATGTGCTGGGTCCCCTGCTAGACATTCACATGACACCTCTCATTTAACCCTTACATTAATGAGGAGAAATTGAGGCACAAAGAGTTGAAGATGTGAGCATCCTCATTTTACAAGTGAGGAGTAGGCAGTGGTGGGAGAGGGTCACTGGCCATCACTTTAGGCAATGACATTGGGAGCAAAGATGAAGTCGGCATTTTCTGATGAACTTGACCAGCTTTGCTCCACAGGACGTGGGCGTCCATTGCCAAGTGACCTTGTGCTGCCCTGGGCGCAGCTTCTGGCTGTGTCCAGGGCATTTCAGCTGCTCCCCTTTTGGCAGGTGTTCTGTGTGATGGACCCCAGTGGAGGAGCCTGGACCGTCATCCAGCATCGGAAGAATGGCACAGTGAATTTCAACCAGAACTGGGAGGACTACAAGCAGGTGACTCTGCTGTCCTGAGGCAGGGCTGTGCGGCTCTGAAGCCTGGTCCCTTTGCTCTGGAGTTTCTGGGGAAAGATGTATGCTTGCCCTCACAGCTTTCCAGAAAACTTCATCAGCCCATCTGAGCCACCTACCCACAAGCACCCTCGCCTGTTATCCATGCACTTCCCAGAGGCCCAGGCCCTGAGTTTCAACCTCTTCATGAAACTTCTGACATGCATCCTGGGAATGAAATGTTGACTCTTGTTTCAAATCTTGGTAAAAATATACATTGCTAAGAATTTTTTAAAAAGAACAGAGTCAGATGAAAAGAAACAGTACCAAGCCCCCAGCTAAACTGCTTGAATGAATTTCTTGCATATTTGGTACTTGTGTTACCCACCAGGAGCATAAATTCTCTGATGTGCAATTGCTTATGCAATGACCATCTGATTTTTGAAATGAGATATGCTTCCCGATTGCTTTCCAATTTTCTTAAAATAAATTTGGCATATAGAAATATTGGAAAGTTGACTTAAATACTCCTTAAACTTTTCGACAGCAAATTAAATAGGAAATATATATGCAATGAAATACAACTATATTATAGTGTGTACTTGCTATTGCATTTGATGTACCATCAAATGTACATATCAAATTGAGCTGTAGATACTCTGAAACCATTGAATGCTTTTAATAAATCATGAAAATGGAAAGGGAAATCAGGAGTTGAGATGCAGAAATACATCAAAGACAGCTGGATAGCTGCTTAGCTGGTAATGGGACGTCATCCCACAGGTAAGAAGCCAGGTTCTGTGTGCCCTGTCCATGGTGTAGAACCTGTGTTCTGCTAGAAACTTTGGTTTCTTGGTCCTGGACACTGTTGACAAAACATGACAAGTGTTCTTGGAGTTTTATACATTTCTAAGCTGTTGAAATTTTGCATTTGATGCCAGGATCTTGGAAAATGTCTTGCATTGCCATTTATGCCAAGGATTAAATCATTATTATTTGTTTAAACTGAGTATTTACAGTCATGCAGTTAAATGCCCAAACATGAAGTGTAAGGATCAATCTATTTGGAATATGTGCTTACTTAACATAGCAGCCTTGAAATAGCAGGGTTACAGCACTTCACCATCTTCCCTTGTGCCACCTCCTAGTCACCCCAAGAAGAGCCACTCTTCATTTGGGTCACCACAGATAGTAGTTTGGGTTCCTGAGCTTTGGAGAAATGTAATTTAAGTCATACTTATTGAAATTTTATCTTTAGAAATGTGTTGATGATTTTCCTCTGGGAAGTATGGGTCTCCTAACTGAGGCTGTTCACAGAGATCTTTAAGCCCTGCAGGTCAGGAGATGTGGCCTTAGAGACTGGCCTAAGGCATTGCTCAGTCAGGGACACAGCTCCCAGCTCTGTACAGAGATACTCTGTCCTCCTCTTATAGGGATTCGGTGACCCAGCTGGGGAGTACTGGCTGGGCAATGAGGTGGTGCACCAGCTCACCAGCAGCACTAACTACTCCCTGCGTGTGGAGATGGAAGACTGGGATGGCAACAAGTTCTCCGCCAACTTTGAGTACTTTGAACTGCACAATGAGAAACAGTTTTACAGGTGAGCTCTGGGTCCAGTGGTTGCATGGGCTGTGGTCCAGGACCGTGCCTGCAGATCTGCAAAAAGGTCCATCCTGGTCACTTTGTCTTTCTACCATCAATCCACCTTATACACCCACATCACAAGATCTGGAGGTGGCTAGTTAGCTTTGTGTTGAAGACTGGATTGGTGTCCTTCCTGGGGCAGTCAATCCAAGGCAGCTCTGGCTTGGGCTGCTCAGGTTGTTCTGAGCTCTGTGCTTTAAAAGCAGAATAGCTTCGGATATGGGTATATGGTGACAGCTTCCCTTTATCCCTCTCCTTCTTCATTCTCTCCTGTGGTACACTTAGGCACAGTAATCAGAGTTAAGCAATTTTTTTCTACAATCTCCAATAAATCTGCCCAACAACTCTTTGAGGTGAGCATCATGGTGGGATCTTTAGTACAATGAAAGCCTGGGGTCCTGGGGTGGGCCAGTAGGTGATATATAGATGATATATTCAAGGACAGAAATGTCACATTTCTACATAAATGCATAATTGTGCATTATAACTGTCTACCCTGCAAATGTAAGCATGTGTGATAAATGTCTAAGGTCTCCTGTGCACAATGCTGTACTCCTTCTGTGTCCAGGTCTCAGGGAGCTCCAGAGCTCCAGGTTGCCCTGGGCATGCTTCAGAGGGCTCTCATTCACCCGTCCCTCTGCAGCACTCTATATGGCAGGATGTTGGATATTTGTTCTGTGCCTGCAGGTGCTGACCTGTTCATGTGGGGGAAGAATCAGTCCTCCCATCAACACCTTCACAGTTACTCTAGTCTGGTGTGTGGCATGATGTAGAATGTCCACTGGTGTCCCACACCACAGAAGGGACAGTGTTTACCCAAATGCATGACCTGGTAAATGAGGAGATGCTTTCCAGTGAGGAAGGATACAGCAGAGGAGGTATGTCTGACTTGCTCATACAAATAGCAGGCAGGAAGGACTCCCCAGAGAGTGGGCATATCCTGCATCAGGAGACAGATAGATGCCGATGCTGTGGGCGTGTTTGTGTGTGTGAAGTAGGTCCACCAGGGATGTGGGGAACCCCTCCACATTACATGTTGGAGCTGTGTGAGCCACTCTGTGTGCTCCCTGATTCAGGTCCATGTGTCTGTGCACCTCTAAAAAACAGGTTCCAGATCCCAGTGTTCCCCAACCTCATCTGTGCCTCCTGGGCCATTTCCTCTGCAGGCTCTGTGCACAGCCTGCTGACATCAGAGCTCTCATCACTGTCTGACCAGCAAGGGTGGCCCTCCCACATAGATACTCACTCCCCGATGCTCATTGTGTGTCTTCACACTGTGCTTTCCTGTGGGACCAAGCAGTCCCGGCAGCTCCCTGACCCTGTAGTGCAGGTCCTAGGGCCCAATGTCTCCTGCATTTCTATTCATGGCCCATATTCCATGTTATCAAATTATTGCTCATGCAGGTTTTTCCTGAAGTAGTACAGTCTTCATGATCCTGAGATCCCTTGATGGACTCTGCCTCACTTTGGGATAAAGATGTCCCAGCTGGAGGTTACACGTGTGAACATTGAATTAAATTCCGGATGTGTCTCACTTTCAGCTTCCACAGGCCTGTTGCATAAATGTGCTTAAATTACATCTGAAGAGTGTGGCAGTGGGGCTGTTCTAATCCATGATGTGGTGTCCACTGTGGTCCCAGGGGTGAGGAGCTGATAGCACTGACCTCCCACCAAGGGTCTTGAATGGATAGTAGGTGAATGTAGAATCACTGTAGCAGTTGTCAGCAGTGAATCCTCTCCAGGGTTTCTATAACCAGCCTTGGCATCCAGTGTTTCCTTTAGCTTCACTGGCTATATCTGAACTCCATTCACCTCCACCCCATGGAACATTAATGGCTTCCAACTGTCTCCCACCCCTGTGCCAATCACATCTCAACCAGCAGTCTCCCAGCCAGGCTCAGGGGCCAACAGAGAAGAGTAACTGCTCACTGCCCTGAGCATCTACATCCTGGGATCACCAAAGCACACAATGAGCAAGGCTGTGGTCAGTGTTTTCATGGTTCCCAAGTGCATACACGCACATACTGAGGCTCAGTGAGTGACACAGTCTTCCAAGGCCATGCAGCCTCTGAGTGGCAGAGCTGGGTTTGAATGCAAGTTGATGGCCATCAGCACCAGACTGCCTTGGCTTTACCTGTCAGGACCACAGAGTCTGGCAAGCAAAATAAATCCACTGGCCGGGCTGCCTGGTGATGCATAGGTCAATGGGCTGTATGGAGCATGGGGATGATGATCCTGGGTTTCAACGGTGTGGGTAGATTTGGTGAGGGAGGGCTTTCTGGAAGATGCAAGAGGACACAAGTAGATATCACAGGACTAAGGTGCAGGAAATTGAGCATGGGAAGATCAGCTTGTGGGAGTCTAGACAGACCATGTTGGGCTGAAATCTGGATATGATCTTCATTGTTCCTGAAAGTTTGGCAGGTTCTTGTGCTCTTGGAGGTCCCATCTCCTCCTGTGGACAGGACCTTCTGAGACTGAGATAAGGATGAGTCAACCCCTGCAAAAGCCTTTGGACAGTGCCTGACCCCCTCCCCCCAGTACAGGCTCCAAACTGTCATCCATTGCACACAATATGGTCACTGTGACACTGCTTCAGGACCCACGGAATGAGGTGTGGAGTGCCCATCACACAGGAGCTGATTACTTTCAAATTGAGAGAGGAGGCATAGAAGAGCCTGAGAAAAATGGCCACAAGCCAAACCTAGGCTGAGGCTTCCCCTTGTAGACTGCAGGAGAGAGGCCAGCCTGGGCAAAGTTCTCAACATGGGCCCTTTGGAAACACAGCACCAAACTCACTCTGTGCTCTCTCCTATCTCAATCTGTGGGTGGCCTCCAGAATTGCTCTTGACAAGGATAGCGGTGTGTCATCTCGCAACGGTCTGCTGATCCTGAGGAACAACAACTTCAGCACCCGGGATGCAGATCATGACAACTGTGGCTGCAACTGTTCAGAGATTATGTCTGGAGGTGAGTTAGGATCAGAGGTGCCTTTGACACCAGGGATATAGGATCTTCAGAACATCCCTCCACCTAGCCCAGCGTTTGTCAGGATGTGTCCAGGAAACAGTTCCTACCAAGTCTGGCTGGGGCAGCTCTCCTGAGCTGGGACAGAAGTCAGAGAGTGGGAGATGGGATGAGTCAGAAACAGAGTCAGAAGGACAGATGAGACACCTGAGCCACAGAGACATGGATAGATGTAGTAGAGAGAGGCAGAGGCTGCTAGAAGTGAGAACAGTGGGGATAGACAGCACTGGTCAGGGAAGGTGGAGGGAGACCTGGAGAGGAAGTCCTGGCTGGATGTGGCCAGGAGAGGCCTGGGTGCCTGGGATAGTGACCTGATAGAGACAGTATGAGAGAGACAGCCCTCAGAGAAGGAAGTCTTTAGCCAGAAAGGTGTTCGTGAGACCCGTGCTCAAGATTAAGGAGAAAGGGACTCAAGAGACAAACAGAGGCCATTAGATATCCGGGGAGGCAACAGGGGCTGTGAGGAAGCCAAAAGGCTGGGAGGCCAGTGAGGGAGGGGCAGGGATGCAGAGGATTCTGGGGGAATGTCCCAAGTTGCATACAGCTAACCAGGTGCCAAGAAGCTCCACTGCCCACTAGTGGCTTTGCCTCAGCAGAGGGTCTGCAGGTCCTCACCTTCCTTCCCAGCTGGCTGGTGCCCAGGAAGCAAAGCAGTCGCTTTGTATTCCCCTCTTCCACAGGATGGTGGTTTGACACCTGTGGCATGTCTAACCTCAATGGCATCTACTACCAAGCTGGTCAGCACAAGAGGAAGATCGATGGCATCCGCTGGGACCATGCTTACAGTGACTCCATCTGTTCTCTCCGCACCTCCCGCATGATGATGCGGCCCTCGCACAGCTAGGGGGCACCCTGTGGAGCCTGGTCTAGGTTGTCTATCCTAACAATAAGGCCAGTAAGAGCATCTGTACCATGCAGGCCACAAAAGGTTCAGAGGCTAGGCATGTGACACCCCCACAAGACACTAGGTCCTCAGTTCATGAAGATGATGCTGGTGCATATTGGGAGATGAAGTTTCTAGTGGGTGATCATTCCAGTCTGATGTCACACTGGGCCCTACCTCTGTGATGTTCTTAGCCCTTCCAAACTTGTCAGACAAGGTTATTTGGAGGAGCCCAGGTTCCAAATATAAAGTGGTGTGGTGGCTGTAGAGCCCAGAGGTAAACCGCTTGCCTAGCATGCAAGAGGCCTTTGATTCAATTCCTACCAACATGCAAAGAGAAACAGACAAAATAAAAATCTCCATCTATAGAGTGGTCTTGTGTGGTACGTGTCTGTGGCGCAGGGATTCCATTTGTCTATGAAGGAGGACCTCCAGTGGTGGGGGTAAGAATGGATGGTACAAGCATGTGTGTGCATGTCCAGTGGTAATGTATCACTGAGGTGACAGCTGCTTTGGGCCAAAGCCTTGTAGGCCTCATTCCATGCCCTAGGTGCACAGTAGGCTGCAAACCCTGAGGCAGATGCAGTGTGGGGGACATGATTGGAACACACTCAGTCATCTTCCTGTGTGTCCTGCCCCTCACACTGACTTGGGTTAATTAGCACCCTTCCTCCTCAGCAAATTGGCAGCACCAACTGGCACAGACCTTATTCTTGAGGTTTGTTGACTTGGTTGGACTATATTTTTGACTTGTTTCAAATGAATGATTTCTCTTATTTTCCTCTTATGAATCTCAATCACTTATTTTATATTTCAAAATTTTAAGAATTTAAACATTTTTATATTATTCTAATGGTTTACAAATATTAATCAATTCTTTTTTCCCCATAATTTTATTGATAAACAAATAGCAATGAGACAGTTTCAAATCAAAATGGTAGGACAGCTTCAATAATTCACACATTGCATACATTCTTCCTAGTGGTTGATTGCTGTACAAGATGTGGACATGATATCCTATTTACAAACACCATTAGAACAAATCGCTCTATTCATTAAGAGAATGTAACTATATACCTATCCTAACCACTTAGAATACACAGATACAAAATGGACATTCATTTGTGTTCCCTTTTTTTTGTTATGTTCTGTTATTTGAATATTATAGGTGTGTAAACTCAGCAAAATATTACAAAAGAGTCCAGTAGCCCATAATAGTATTGGGTCTTCTGCTTGACTGTCAATGTCAGAAATTGTTGACCTGAGTCCCCCACAGCTCAATATAACAGCATGGCTTTACTTCTTATACATCGTTTTTAGACATTTCTGCTGGATGGTTAAGACCAAGGTAAAGCAGGACCTATGCATCAAGAGTTGTATCTTTTGGGTCTGATAAGGTCAGTGAAATCCCCTCAGGATTTATCCTGAGATCCTGTACCTCAGATTGTAGAACCTTTGTCAGTGTCACCCATGAGGAGGAGTCATGGCCATTGCTTGGCCAATGTGCTCTCTGTGAAAGCCTGAGAGAATGTTTTCTCTCTATGTGACTCTCCTTATGCACACTCTACATCATTGATCATTTTCCTCTTTGGCCCCATAATCTCCTTGTTCAGAAAATTTTGGACACTACTGAGTTACATGACGTTACAGTACAAGTTCTCATATGTCCTGAGTCTTAATTGACCTTCGAAGGCTTGGGCCAAAATGATGGCTTTTCCTGCAGCCCTCATTTTTCTCTAATTTTGGTCTGCAAACTTAGGTTGTTAACCATCCAGAAGAGAAGCTTATTGTTATTACCATACATCTTAGGCTGTTAAGCTTAACCTCACTATCTGTCTGCATATCAAACATCTTAGGCATATTATGGAACAGGTATTTTTCATCAAGTATTGATATGTTGAACTTTAAATCCCTACAGAATATGATAAAAAACATTTAAAATTAGAATATATTTTAAAAATAGGCATAAAGAATTATATTCTTCTT